ACGGGCCTGTATTCCGACGCACTCTCCAGAAAGATATATATATATATACATACACAGGAAGGTAGTCTATAAGGTATTTGAAATTGTATCATATGGCTACAGGGTATTTAATAAGGTCTACAAGGCCAATTTTTTTGAGCCCGAACTCGTCAACAGGCTTCTTGGTGTGGCGTCTTGTGCATGTGATTGCCTCCATCGTGCTAATGCCTGATGTTAAAACCACCGTGTGAAACTACCCTGTCGGATGTCGAGTGCTTTTACGGCTCCGTGTTAGCTTACGTTGGTAGCAGCCTGTATAGTGTCAGTGCTAGGATGTAGAATTGAAAACGTGCGTACCGCAGGCGCCTTGAGTTCGCAGCAAAAATACGGCTACTTGTATTGTGTCGGAGCGTTCGGAACCTGACTTCAGCTTCAAATTGGTAGCGGAGCTGGTGAACCACGACACGCGTCTCACCTCGTCTAACTGTTGTATTGTATCTGTAGGGTAGCGCCCCTAGCTTGTCGTAAAGCGCCCAGGAGAGCCACCACGTCTGTCGCAGGACTCAAGTATAGCGGAGTCCAGCAGTGGGGACATAGCTCCCCTGCAGAGACCAAGAGCGGCAGTTATGCCGGCAGCGCCTCAGGCCTCAGCCGGCCATGACTGGGAGTTTCGCACTCGCATATGCGTGTTGCAGCACCGCGAAAAGCAGAAGCGGGAGCTGCTCAAAGACTTGCGTATGAGTGCGCAGACAGGTGCACGCAGCCAAAGCCCACGCAAGTGGGGGCCGAAGCGTGCCGGAAGCACGGAGCATCCAGGCCTTAGATCATTTCGGCCTAGGCCCGATTTGGCAGATGGCGACGGCCGCCCCACCGAGGGCGAGTCCAGCGGTATTCCCGCTAGTCCGTCTAGCGCCCGAAGGAGACGACGAACAGCCGATGAGGCAGCAGATGAAGGAGAAGGCGGCGAAGCGGGCTCTATACCGAGCCATCCAAGCCAGATCGAAGGTGATGAAGACGACCTTCTGGACGAGTATGACCGGGCCTATACAGAGCCCGTGTTGCCCACGATGGCGGATATATCCGACGCAGATGTGGATATGTCGGAATGCGTTTCCAAGACCCTAGAGGGTCTGCGCGGTGACACATTCAGCATTGCTCGTGACATCGGTCTTGAGCGCCTCTTGAAGCACGATGGCATAGACCATCTGATAGAGCAGATTAGACAGCAAGCGTTCCCTCTGCAGTCAGAGGAAGCCTCAGAACTCTTTCGACAAGGCCAGTTGCTTTCGGGACCCCTTGCGAAACAGCAAGGAGAACCCATGCTGTCTTACATCGCCCGCCGAAAGCAGTGGTGGGCGACGCTATGCGAGCTTGATCCGGACATACGTCTGTCAGAGGCAATGAGCGCCAATTTGTTGGTTGAATTGTCTGGACTTAGCCGCCAGGAACAGCTGATGATCAAGACGGCGGCGCGCTCGCAGACAACAGATGAATACTCACGTGTGCTGGTGCAGCACAATAGTGTCGTGCACATGAAGGAACGACTTCTCACCGAGAAGCCCAATGCGCAGAGGACAGAGTATAAGCACCGATAAGCAGCAGTACAATACCCCTAAGTTTGGGTACATGGGCTACGGTTACGATGAGCATGAAGCTGCCGAGCCAGACCAGGGTACCATCCCCGAGGAAGACTTCGCTGACGCTGCATATCCAGCGCTGGACTCCACTCACGACGACGAGTTGTGGGTGGAGGATGAAGACGTCGCCATGCAACTAAATGCGTACGCTGCGATCTCGGAAGAGATAGAGGCAGACGAGATCGGCGAGGGATATGCCGAAGCGGTTCAACTTGCCTACGCCGCGACGAACACTTTGAGTCAGGCGAAAGGAAAAGGCAAGGGCAAAGACAAAGGCGCTAAGGGAAAGCCTGGTGGTAAGTTGGTTAGGTCCAACCGTACCATAGCGGACCGCAAGGCTAAGCTCACCGAGCAAAAGAGCAAGAGTCGCTGCTTGAGGTGTGGTGTTGTCGGCCACTGGGCCGGCGACGCGGAGTGCCGATTCAAAGGCAACGCGAAAGGCGCGTCTCGTCCAAGCCGTCGGCAACCCCACCACCGTCTGGGGGACCACCAAAGCCTCAGGCCTTTCCGAAGCCTCAGGCTTATACATGGGCGTTGAAGACTCGGATGGCGACGACGAGGTCGTGATGCTCAGCAACTCGGGTTCGCCGTCGCGCGGCTATATGGCCGTGAAAGCCTCCCCTTCCAAGCCTGGCAAGGGTCGAGGCGTTATGTCCCCTCAGTTGCGACGTTCCGCAGCTTCCGCTATAATGCGGGATAGTCCTCCCCCAATAAAGCGACCGGCTTTTCACGTTCGGCCAACACACGAGCCTAACCTTCGAACGGGTACTATACACGTACCCGGGTTACGTCTTGTGGGGACAGTGAGAAAAGTGCCCATCCAAGCACTTGGCAGACTTTTTGGCTTGGGTACATGAGTATTACATAGTTACTGATTCCGAACCCATAGAGGTTACGCGACGGGAGCAGCCGTTGAGCGGCACCCCTGTGCCCGTTCTCGAGCAGCCCGTGGCATCGTCCACGGTGGGACCCTCCTTCTTATGTCACATGCAAAGGCGGATGCAAGGAGTTTAGCAAGTCTGGCAGCAACGCATACATCGATATGCGGACTTGCAAAAAGTGCGGGACCGTTACGAAAACGAAGAAGGAGAAGCCAGTGGTTGATCAGTCCACATGCCTCCACGGCGTAACGGAGCGAACTGGCTCCAGCCGCAAGACCAGTCGGCTCAAGTGCAAGCTATGCGGCATGCTCTTGGATGAATAGCCGCAGGAGGAACGCAAGAAGCGTTCCGAGATCGCCTCAGTAGTGCAGGAGTCTAACACCATAGACTTTGATCTGATGCGATCCATAGCGAGCCGCACTAGCGAAGACCTGCCCGTAGAGGTAGTGGTTCCCGCCATAGACCAGTTCAGTGAAACTGTGGAAGGCCACTTTGTTACCGAACCCTCTGTAACGAGGGGAGACCTGCTAGCGTACCTACAGGAGGCCATAGAAGATCAGCTGCCGCAGGACACCAACACCTCCTGGGAGATGGCTTCCGCCTCCGCTGGCGCCCGCTCGCGATCGTCAAGGCACGGGTATGTTGCGTTGATGTCCGGGAATTCAGAGGGAGTCACAGACACTCACCCCGCTTTAGATCCCCTTCCCGTAGTCGATATATACGACTCGCCCGGCGTGTATGCGGTTTTAGATGAAGGGTGTAATAGCACGGTCCACGCGACCGAGTGGGTCGCCGATGCAGCCCGAAAGCTCTCTAGCCTAGGTTATAGTACCAGGTTCTCGTCTAATGCTGCAAGAACGTTTAAAGGGCTTAGCGGCGAGACAGAGACGCTAGGGGGCCGTCATATACCTTTCTCTATATTGGGATTGGATGGTGAAACCAGAGTTCCGGGTGTTTTGGAATCCCATGAAATAAAGGGCACAGCACCTTTACTTCTTTCGCTCTACGCACAGGCGCAGTCGTAAGGACTTGCGCACCAACTTGTATGGCGTAAGGATGCCGTCGTCTGACCAACTGATACCGATCCAAATGTTCGTGGCGAAAGACAGTGGGCTGTTATGTATAAACCTAACAGAGGGACTAGCGTTGCACAGGCAGCCGAGGCTCATAAGAACCGTTTTAAGATCCCCGATCCCCCAGTGCCAATGAATGTTCGGGCAGCCGCTGCAGACCAAAGCAGCGGAACTCATGTCCACAACACAGGCATGAACAGCCAGGAGCAGCGCGAGGCGACGACAACGCCCAACACAACAACGCCAGCTAGGCATACTACACTAGCTAGGACCCTAGCGCACCTAGCCACCGGGTCGCAGCAAGGGTTCATGACAATCGACCAAGGCACGCATTCCAGTAGCGCAGACATGGAAGCCATGGAACCGTGCACTTTTCAGCGACCGTGCATCGCAACATCCGCCGGTCGCGCTGAAGCCCACCGTGGCTTTCAGAATGCCCGTCGTGAGTATGATGAGGGCTGCGCAGCTTCGGGTATAACCCCGGAGGCAGGCAACCTCGCGAATGCGGCGAGGATCTGTGCGCCGCCGGCGACGCTTCACTTAGCTGAAGCGGAGTTCACGCCGGTGCTGTTGGGCCCTAGCCCCGCCGATATGGTGGTGGACATATTTACGCACGAGTATGAATATAACGCTACCGTGCAGCGCATTCGCAATGACTGGTCAGGTAGCTCCTTGTTCGTTCGACCACTTCGAGGAGCTGAATTCGTCACCTATAACGGTGTCGCGCAGTAGGCTGCGATGGGTCTGCGTCTTTTTGGATGACGCACATCCCGGACGCCAGGTTCGCGGATGGAGCAGACCAAGCCCGGAAGCACCGTCTTCAGGAGCAGCAGAAAGAACATACGAAGCATGTCGGCTCCCATCCTCGCATCCTTCACGAGGTGATGATGCATGAGGAGTTTATCGAGCGTTGCAGGTATATTCTGCATGCCCTCCTCGATTGCCTTGACACGGGGGTGGAGGCCGTGAACCTTTCTGTAGTGTGCAAGAGCAACAGACATAGATCTGTTGGCACGGGGTATCTCCTCGCGGAACTTTGCCGCTACATTAAGCGTACAGCTGTGAGTATAACTCACATGGAATCTGCCAAGACTGGGACAAGATGCCGTTCCGGTCGTGCCGCGGGCGATGCGAAGAATGCGGCCACAGCACCTTAGAGTGCTGGATCGACGTCCAAGAGATATACGACGGCTTCGTGCGCAAAGTGAAAGCGCTATATGGAACGGTTCTACTAGGAGTGTGTCAACAGGCTGCCGCTGATGCTGCCGCAGATGCAGAAGCAGCCGAGAGCATCCTCTGGGCCAGGACCAGCGCCTGGGCCTGCATCGTCACCCATGGGAGGTCGACGACGAAGACTCCTTTGTCGTCCCGCCGGAGTGCGCAGGCTGGGATCCCCTGAAATTTAGGCCCTAAGCCAGGGGAGACTGCTTATCAAGCAGCCGTTAGGATGCAGCTGAAAGGCCGTAGGCATACAACCTACGTGGCGAAGTGGGGTGATCGTGACAGCCTTACTTCCATATAATGAATAGGAGCACCGGCAGTGTAACCTTTATGTCCAATCCGCCCAGGTGCCAATCCGTCCACCGCGACGGAGTCTGCTGCCACGCCGATGTATGCACCGCCAACTCCGAAGGTGCCCGAATGCAACCGGTGCGAATGCCGGACGGGATGGCCTTCCGTTGGCGCCATCGGGAATCCCCGCAAAGGCGCCGCCTACGGTTGCTAAGGCTAAGCCTAAGGAGGTAGTGTTTAAGCAAGCCAGCACCCCGCACCTCCAGACTAGACCGGACGCACCGCCCGTCCCGGGGACTAGACCTCCAGCGCCCGCCGCGCCGCTACAAAGGCGCCGGCCGTGGACGCAAACAAAGAGCTCATAGGAAAGCTCAGAGCCGAGAAAGAGGCACTTCTCGGAGAGAACACTCGCCTCGTTGCCCGTCTCAGAGAGACGGAGGATGAGCTCGCGGAGGCCAGGAACCACCTGCGTGACGCCCAGTTTGGTTTGGAGGAAGCCAGCCGGCGCGCATATCGTGCAGAGCGTCAGCTCGACGAGCTTCAGATGAGACGTTCGAAGTCTCGGAGAAGACGCAGCTCCTCCAGCCCGCGCGAAAGGCGCAGGAGAGAAGAGCAATACCGGCGCGATGACCGAGATCGCCGAGATGATCGCTATGAGGTCCGCAGAGACGATCTCGCGACATAGATCGCGATGACTTGCGCATGGACAGCGGAAGCCGAGTCCGTGCAGAGAGCAGCTCCCACTTTAATAAGATAGGTCGCACTGCACGTTGGGGCCGGGACACCGATGCCGCGGCGGGAGAGGGCGAGATCACCCTCGCCTCCTCACCGGCGTATCCTCCGGACGAGCCGCCAGCCGCACCACCGGCTGAGCTAGCAGCAGCATCCTCCGGTGCGACGCGGGCCACCACCGTTGGTGGCAGTCCACGCGGCACCGCGACGCAGCCAAATGTGTCGATCTAGACAACGACGAATGGGACGCGCCAGGGCCAACGCACCCTCGGGATGATGGATTTGCCGGCGGACTTGGTGGCCGCGCTCCACCCGAGCCACCGAAAGCTCGGCCAGCCTCTAGCAAAGGTGGCGGCAGAGGAAGTGATGGTGGGCACCGACCCACCAGCTATTACGACTTCCCCGACAGAGCAGACGCGAGGCGCGAGACTACTTTAGAACCTGGACCCCATCGGAGTGGAGAGAGTTTCGCCGAATGTACCCGCGACCGCCAGGTCGGGGCCACATCATCCCGATCGATGCGGAGATGCGCAGTGTCGAGATCGCCGGCGTCGACCGGACTGGAGACACTGGAGTGGGTTGGAACCGAAGACTTCGGGGCATTTCCGGATGGTGTCCTCGCAGAGATGTATAACATCCTGTCACACTGTGCCGCAAGGAGACTCCAGCAATGTGGATAGGACCCTATACAGCCCGGCACAGTTCCGGGCTGGAGATCGAAGACACCATGAGTTGTGCGAAAGGCACAACATCAAGGTTACGTGTGTGACCCCACACACGAAGGAAGGCTACCTGCCCGTGGGAAAGTCGAAGGATATAAATCCTTTCGGTCATTTGTACTCGCACAACGACCCTGAGAACGTAGACACAGTCTCGTGGACGTATGTGAGGGTACATGCTACCCGCATGGCATGCGTCCGGACATCACCCCAGGCGAGGCCAGGGGAGGCAGATCGTGCGAGCCCGTCAGCACCGTCTGACGAGGCGGCAGAGGTCTATATGATTCTCTGGCAGTATCCACTGGCCTTTGCGTCGAACATAGCTCCGATGGACAGGGAAGAGCTCAGTCGTTCTGGAGGACGCTCCCGATGCTTCCGACGCGAGAGCATGTATGGCCGTTCGCGCAGTGGGGACTGGGCCAGTGTTCGGGAGTGAGGTGTTAATAGATGTTTCGGGGAATGAGCATGATGACTTCACGAAGGCAGAGGCAAGGAGTCAATGCCAGAGATTTCGACTAACTACAACGTTAGTACCGGTTTACCCGAAACCTGAGGAAGCTTAGCAATTCGCAACGTAAGCGCGTCTTACATGGATTGCACGAGCTCGTTGCTTCTGACAATGTTTTGAGAAGCCTTTGCTATAATGCAACCATGGAAGCCTCCAACCACCTGATGCCCTTTCATGAAGTGCCCTCTGTGCAGGTCGTCAGCGAAGCCATTGCCGCCCGCACAACGGGAACGCCAGGCCTAGTGGTTGTCAGGAACTCAATTCCCGCCGAGGGTTTGTGTCTTGAGTTGGAGTGCCTTAGCGAGATGCTAAACGTGCACATAGTGCTTGTTAGTCACTTCGGTAGTCATGCCTTAGAATCCACTGCAGAGCTGAGAGGTGACTTGAGTATCTCGGGGATAGGCCCGAAGATTTCGGAGATTTTGCCCGTTTTGGTGGCTTGGTCCGAGAGTTACGGGTGGACACCTAGGTGCTATGAGGATACTGATGGGGGCTGACTTTTGGTGCACCTGTGAAAAACATTTCGGAAGGGTTGTATTTGGATTCCTTCACCAGGTATTGCTTTACAGGATGAAGAGCTCATCTCAGATGTAGAAATGACCCGAAGTCCCAATATTGCAGATGAAGGAAAAGGTGCATTCACCCCCGCAGAACGGGAACAGATTATACTCGAGAATATGAGTTTTCCCGGAACTCCAGCCACCGAAGCTGAGAGAAGAGCCGCGTGGAGAGCACTCCCCCAGCGCGTACGAGTGGCTATAAGGCGACTCCATAGGGCTTTCGGTCACCTCCCAGGTGCGGTCTTAACCCAAGTGTTGAAACAAGCCCGAGCTTCACAGCAGTTTATACAAGCTGCGAGGCTTCACCGATGCAAGGCGTGTTTGGACACCGCTCCAGTTCCTCGGCACCATCCAGTATCGTCAGACTCGCTTTACCCAAGGGAGTTTAACAACACTGTTGGCCTCGATTGTCTTGAAATCAAAGACTCACAA